TATGTGGAGATGGTCCTATACGCGTCCTTCAAAAGGCCTGAAGATGGCAAAATACTGTCTTTGAGCTGGGAAAGTGTTATGATCGGCCGCCGTTTGATTTTCATTATGCTGAAGGCTTTTGTCAGCGACCCATTACTGCGTCTTCTCATCATGACTCTTTTCGGCGTTCTGTTTCTCCTTCACCACGCCTTGACTCAGCCATTTCGTGATGCTATTGCCAATACAGTAGAAACCATTTCTTTGCTGTTTATTGTTGTCCTGGGGTTGTTGAATGTGTTTTTTGCATCTTTTCTGTCGTTGGCTGTTCCATTTGACGATCATTTCAGCACCTGGTGGAAGGTCTGTCAAGGAGTGGAAGTCGTTATTCTCTGTCTTGTACCTGGGGCGTTAGGGCTTCTTATAGTCACCGTTGTTTTATCCCAGCTCTGCCGGATAACTGTTGTGGTTTGCCGTTTTTTGTCAAACTTTTTTTGGATTTGCTTTCGTTTTTGTTATAGCAAGCAGGATGACGAGACAAGATCGCTACTGGCCCCAGTTAGCTAAACTGTTTTATCGCTTGCATGTGGTAACTGATTTCAAATACCAATTGCGTTTCCAATTCCATTTTCAATCTGTGCAGAAAACGCGTGATCTATCGAGCTATGTACAAAGTATGTGGTAACAAAATGTATACAGATGAAACCCAAACGTAGTATAATGTAACAAGAGGAAATTGGTTATCCTGCACGGTCATTTAGAAGGGCTTTCGTGTAATTGCAAACGCTGCTTCGTCTTCATATTGATTTCTGACAAAATCGTTTAAGCTTAGTAACTGGACACCTACTCGTAGTTCATGTTTAATCCGTGAGTTTGCTTCAAGGGGCGCAGAGAACTGTGAAAACAGTAACTCCCGGAGTAATCGTAGTTAGTAGATGTATGCATGTACAGGTGATTACGATCAAACTCAAAACATGTTACAAAACTGCCTTTTTCCCACATTTGTTACTTAGTAATAAGGGATGTAAATGCTTCGTAATTACATAAATGTGAGTACAAAAATCTGGGTTGATTATCATTGATTTTAATGTTTGCAAAAGTCATGAATTCATATTTGCGTAACAACCACCCTAATGTTAATAATCATAACCTCCTGCCTCATTGAATTGTGAGTTGTGGATGAAGACATTTTCCTTGTGGAAACTTTTCACGAGTGGAATACGCTGAGGAATGGTAATTCGTTGAGTACCCTTATGAGAAATGAGTAATTTGCATAAGAGGGGCGTATAGAGAGTTTTCAGAATCTTCCCGCTGACCTCTTTAGGCAATGGGGCTTTTGCTACAGAACTACGTAGTTATCCAATCTGGTGAAAAGTCATATACTGACCGGCTTTAAGCGAATGAGAACAGCTTTTACATTTCTGGGAACAGCACAAGCCCGAACTTGGAATCAATTTGTATCGCATGTAGAGTTTAAAGGTCAGTTGAGCGCAAAATAAAGGCTTGTTTACACTTGCGCATCAGCATAAGCTGACATACGCAGAAACAGTAAGATGTTGATAATTGGCGCCTTTAGTTTTGATAATTCAGTTCCAAACAAAAGGCGCTACTGAACAGCACTTTTAGTTTACTGAGTCTGCGTATGTTGCTGATGCTTACGCTTGTTCGCTAGTGAGAACCAGCCTTAAAGTTGAAAACACAGTGCATGGTTGCTCAAGGAATGATCATTCAATCCAACGGATAAATCAATATCCGTGCGCAGCGTACTTTGTCGTATTAGCCTATCCACCGGATAATGACTGGTCCGATGGATAACTTTACCCACCCTTTGAACAACCAAAGCCACAGGTAATAATGAGCCAAAAAGAAAGGAAAAGGACCCAACGGGTTTCTAACGACGACCTCGGCGACCTTCCTGGAGCATGTTCTATATTATCTCTATTTACATACTTCACTCTCCCATACTGGAGAATTGGTCACACAAGATTCCTGACTTTTACATCACTTTCAAGAGCGATTTAGGTCACACAAGAGTCCTGATTTTTTCATCACTTTCAAGAGCACTTTAAAGAACTCTTTAAGAACCCTGTAATCCCCTCTTGTGAGTAATCCTTGTACCCAAGGATCGACGACTAAAGCGGACAGTTAATTTGCGGTAAAGTTGAACTTTACAACTTAAGTTTACACCATTAATTCCTTTACAACTTGCGCACAACATGTCTTTTTATTGTATATAGTTTTAGTCCCCTATTGCAAACGTACTTGGTTATTGATAAAATTCGTGACCATCGTGAACAGCTTTACTAACATTACCCTTTAGACTTTCGATTGATCGATATTGGTGAGCCTATTCAAAGTAAGTAAATAATAAACTGCTTCAGTCATACTTTGAAAATTGAACAACAATAACTGTGGGGTCTACGTTAACAAACAATTACTGAACATTCCTCTGGGTTTTCATATCAAATATCCTAAAATCCATGAATAAGTCCGATGGCAGCTTCTGAACCTTTTCTTTTTCTTTTACAACTGGACTAGTAAACAACAAGAGAACATGTCTAATGTTATTGAGAACGTTGGCTTGCAGTACAATCGTTTAATGCTGTCTAAAGAGCCAGCAGTAATACAACCGGACAGTGGTCGCTCCCTTTAGCACGCTGACGTATCAGGCTATCGCACATCTTAGGTACCAGTCTCTCGGACACCACAAAGTAGTCAAGGCGCCTGGAACGAGCGAAAACCACAGATGTTTAAACAGGACTTCTTGCCGGAAGTGACAACAAAGAGAAATCATTATCGTGTGGGATTTGTCAGCCTTAGATAGAACTGTGGAAGTTTTGTGTGAAAGTCATTGAGCTTGAAACGTTCTTTCGTTGTTGTCAAGTTACCATTCCGATTTCTAAGTTTTTAGTAATTTTGTTATAACTTCCAAATAAAATGTTCTACAATAAAACATACAAAAAGCTATTACAAACAACAAAAATTGAACATACCAGCCAACGTTTTTAGCACGAGCGTTGCCCATGTACGACCAAAACGAATACTGCCTCTCTTTCTTGGGATAAAAATGACGAAATGAATCCACGAAGCCCTCTTCAAGCAGCTCTGTGAACCCTTGTCGCTCTTCTTTGGTAAAGCCAGCCGTTTTCGTGTTTGTCTTAGGGTTCGCAAGATCTGAGAAGAAATTTTATGGACATGTCATGAAATCGTTTTGAGATTTCCTTTCGTTTGAATTTTTTGCTTGTTTGTTTAGTTTGTTTGTCACTACTTGATTTATCTCAGTCTCTGGTGGAAGAAAGCAATTTTCTACAAATCGGTATTTGGAAGCGTGGGGAAATGCACATCATTGATATCATCTGTTGGGTGAAATGACAGCGAAATCATCCCTTGCTCCATGTCGACTGTTACTTCCATCGGAATAATCGACACGCTAACCCCTAATATGTTCAGGGGCATGTTTTTCGGTGTCGAGGATGTCGGATAGCAATATTAACCAAACACATGACCAAATCTGATCCTGTTGAAGGCCAGGAAATCTGTAATTTCCGGCTCGGTCTCGACTGCACTTTTTCGTAATTACAGCCTGCGATTGCAATCTCACCTTGCCAAAATGTACTGCAACCGTTGCTGACCGACGTAAAAAAAGCTTTTTCCATGGAATTTTCAGCATGTACATGTAAACTGGTTGTGTAAAGCAAGCCCTTTTTCATTTTTAAAAAATCTGTTAACTGCGTCAGCGAGCCAGTCAAACACCTACAAGTAGCTATTCATCAATTTGAAGTTGATAAAAGTACGTTAACCGCTGAAGCGAGTTTGTGGGATTGACGTTACGATCGTCAGCTCTCCGTCAGAGCAAATTGTGGGAAGTGACATCATTTCTCTTTGTCCTATTAAATGGCGTTACTTGGAAACGACGACGCTGATATTTCCCTAAGCAACCAACAATCTACTGATAATTAAAAGTAGTTGTTAGTATAGGTAATCATACGGTTTCGTATGATTACTTGTTAATAATATAAACATGAAAAAATTCGCGTGGGAGGAAGTGCCGGAAGATCTTTCTTGAAACCATTTTTTCTCATTT